AGGATTGTGTTTATTTGGGTACGCATATTAGTGATGGGTTTCTGGATGTTTGAGAGAAGAGAAAAAGGGGCGTAGGAGAAAATGGCCTAGAAGGAGACATCAAGCTTAAATTCATCTGGGTTCAGCCTTCAGATTCTACATCGTCACTTAATTACGGGCTGTTGGGATCGTTGATATCTTTCTGCTCTAAGATTCGGAGCTTGCCTCTCTGATTTGGCTTTATCATTCAATCCGCTTCTGAGAGATCTCTCTTATAAATTATTGCCCCAACTTGGGTCATGTATGATTGATTATCGCGCATTTTCTCTTGCTTTGGCTGAATATCTTCAAAGGATCAAGGCTGGTATGTTGAGTGGTTAGGTGGTTGGGTTCAAGCCCTCTGCAGACAATCCAGTCAAATTCACACAAGGATCTTGCTAAATGGAAAAACGCCACACCTCAACCACATCTTTCATACGAGCAGTCTCACCCAAATTCTGCTTCCGAGAATGATTTGGCGACGACCCTACGAACACGCGGCCCGCGAGTTTGAGAAATCCCCAACGCAGAGGTGCTCAGGAATGGGCCTCGTTGATCAGCTCCATTTCCGAGGAGCGGCGGAGCTCAAGGGGGAAGATCAAGTGAACAAAACTGCCGGATTGCTCCTATCTCAGCACACCACTCCCAGAAAATACTCCTAGGAGGCCTGCCACCTGGCCTCCTCGTGTGTGGCCGAAGTTGGTTACATCGTAGGTAGCCTTAGAAAAACCGAAAAGCGACGCCGAATGGTGTGGCTGAAGGAATCGGGAATAACGGCGTCCAGGTGGCCGTGGCTGATCTCCATCAATCCGAGAAACGCGCGCGATTATCTTCTGCAAGCGGGAGCATGTTTCCAAGATTACGACGGGACAACCTCGCCGCGTAGTGCCAGAGGTCGTCCAAAGAGTCACGATTTCGAAGCTCACTGATGACCACTGTGTGGCCGTGAAAATCACACCCTCTCTTGTCCAGCTTTTGAGAAGGATTTTCTTAGTGACCCGGGAAGCCAGCCATCTCTGGTGTTCTTGGCTTCGTGGTTAAACACTGCTACTGCGCGGATAGTAGTGCTCACGAGATCGAAATCTTTCATTGATCAAAAAGTACCGCAAAGAGCAGCAAGATAGCAGACGTGGTCCTGGGGGGCTGGAGGGTTGTTTCATCCAGCGGGTTCATAATTGATGCTGTGAAATACGCAATGTCTAGCCGAAGCAAAAGCATTGGGCAATCGATTGGAGCTGCTCATCAGGCACAGAGGATAGGCATGGATGACAGTGATATTCCAAGCCAGCTGTCACTCTTCATTCTATTTTCCTCCGCTCATATCATCTTCTTCGCAAATATCGGGCTTGACAGAGTACTGATACTAGTGCTCTGCGTGCACCGACGACAAGTTCCTCGTAGGCAAGAGACGTATCACATAAGAAGGAACATCAGCTTGCACATCTTTGATGCTGGGATAAAATCAAAATAAAAAGAATGAGAGTCGTGCAATTCAAATGTTTCTTGTCCGATCTGTTTTCTCATCCGGGAGCCAATGTCTGAGGCTGTGGCGAGGTGACATTCCTCCACGCCGACAATATCAATAGTTAGACCCCAAAAAGCCAGGGTTTGCCTACAAACAAAATGCACAAGTCATTATCGCTGTCGTATCCCACGGTTGCTCGTATATCAATGCTCTGTGATGAACTTGCAAGATCTCAGAGGGAGCTATCGCTTAAATGATTTTCCGGCCGGGGATGCCAGCAGGCACCAGCCCCACTGGACATCGATGGCTTGGACATGGACAGGGTCGATGCGGCGAGTATATATATATTGAACGTGTCTCTCCTCCCGTCCTCAACGCAGTTATCGATCTCTACTTTCTTTGTTCATTTCGTTGACCCATCTCCTCGATTTCTTTCTCCAAGGTCTATATTTCTGTTTATCTGGACTACTAGTCGTACTGACGAGTGGAGGTCAATGGTTTGACTGGATCCGTCGTCTGAACCCCTCTCAGAGAAGCAACATACAGTTCTCTGCTACCCCTACTATACTCACCACCATTTCTTAAACTGTTTATCGTCCCACAAATCTTCCTGTTTCTTTCTCTTGTCTCTCACTATTTTGTTCCAGCTATATATATATATATATATATATAAAGGGACAAAGTACACCACTATCCCTTCTCCTATCCAAAACCCACCCCAGGCTTCCTACCCCTGTTTTCAACACATGTGCGTCAAAAAAATGCACCTCCTAAACCTGCCCACAGAACTCCTAGAATATATCTTCGACTTCTCTTCTGTCACCAGCTGCCTCCAAACAGCTTATACCTGTCGCACGCTCTTTGCAGTTCTCTCAAACTATCGCAAGGGGCTTTTGTACCAACTGTCTCAACTCCCCTCAACCCCTAGAACCCTCAGCACTGTCAATACCAGTCACAGTGGTGGTGGTGACAATAACGACAATGAACTCTCCTCTAAAGGCATAGCAGAGCTCTTTCTCTTGCTCCAAAGACGGGCAGCCCAGCAGCTGCGTGGCGCCAACTTCCACGCCAACCAAAGTGTATACACTTTTGACAAGGACGCACCTGCCATTGACACTCTGGCTTCAACCATACACCGTGACGGTGATCCCAATGTAGCGTTGGTGCAGAAGGGTCTACCCAGTGTTTTCTTGTATTTTGTTTCTGGGGGTCAGATGGTGCCGCGGGGCGTGCTGGAAGCCTTCACCGTGTGTCCTGGGAAGGTTGAGGTGATTAAGGCCGTTATTAGTGACAGGGGGAATACGGTTTCTGTATTGCAGAGATTTACGCCCTTTCCGGCAAAGGACGGTGAGAACGGGTCGCAAGGAGTTGGCGAAAGCGGAACTGTGAATGGCCATGGGAAGACGCCGAGAAACAAACACCCCTTTGAAGAAGAGGCGATGAGGCCGTACCGGGCTGAAAGCACACAGCTTGTGCATTACCGCCGCAGCAAGCCCGGGTCAGGATATTCGCGCGTGACGATTTCTGCCTTCCCGTCCCAAGATGAGTATCGCCCATTGGCAATTGCTGTGGCCGATCAATATCTGGTGGCGATATCATGGCAGCATAAGCAGTATCCAGACAGACGTATGATCGTTGTCCATACCGCGCAACAAGATGAGACTGCAGGAAAAATGAAACTATCGTGTGAGTTTTTCCGCTCTTTCTGAAGATGAATGTGTAGGAGAGATCGAGTCCCCTTCTTATAACCATCAAAACACGTCTCTATTACTCGCAACATATCAATTAATATATCCCTCATAGACCAAGTTTACAACGACAATATTATCATTGACGAAGACGGAACCATGCCGTATGACAACGGTTATCATCGACACCGGAACACACGGCCTATCGAACCGGTAATCCAAATGGCCTTCAATGACGGCGTGACCCAGCTGCTCTACTATCACCCCGCCTCAACAATTTATGGCCATTTCCAACGCATCAATCTTGAACCCGGTGGAACAATAAGCACCAGCGGTCTCCTTGGCAACTCCTGCTGGGTAATATACCGCAACAACCTCACAATCAACAATGTCGAAGAAGACAACCTTAAATTCACTATCGCCATCCCCTTTTTCAGCACGCACGAGACCGTGACCAATCACTTGAATCGTGAGCAGTGCCACTGGAAATACCTGGCCCTCGGCACCGCGACAGACAATCGCGGCGAACTCGTGGCCTGCATCCTCATGGCAGAAACCTTCTGCCGCTCTGTCCACTGCCATCACATCGAGAACCTCGACCGTGGTCGGCGCTTCGATAGCTGGCGCGTCGTTGCGCGGTTGGCTGGGTACAGCACAAGCGTGAACACGCTGCCGGGGATCGTAGCAACGTCGCGACGCGCGACGCGTCTGGCGATTGCGAATTGGAAGACCATCACGGTTTGGCCTTTGGACCCGCAAGCGATCATTGAACGGAATGCGTCTGGTGTCTACCCAGAGAATATGATTGATGCCGGCGTGACCGGTGCTGTTTTGTTGGAACCCGTGGTATTGGAGAGTGAGGCTGTGTGTTTCATGTTAAGTTTTGGGGAAGGGGAGGATGAGATTGTTTCGCTGACGGATCGCGGAGTTATGAGGTGGGAGATTGGGGCCGGGACAGTGGGGAGGAAAGAAGGGGCAGTTTTGGGGCTTTTGGACGGAGCTTGGGGGAATGAAGGGGAGAGTGAGGGGGAGGAGAGTGCGAATAGGAAGATAGAAGGAGCGGGCGTGGATACGGATGAAGAGGGACTCTTTGTATATGAAGGGGGTGAGTCGGAAATTGGTAGTGAGATGAGTGACGATAGCGAAGCGCAAGGTAATGGCGTCGAGGACGAAGAAGATGAAGAGATGGAAGATGCTGACAATCATAGTGATGGTGATGGTGGGACTTTTCAATCCCTTCTGCCCTCGAGTTCTCATGTTCCACCATAAGTTATAACTATATCATTGCCGGAGGAGATAGATAGCTGCAGGGCAAAAAAAGCCTTGTTTTTTTATTTTTTTTTATCTCTTTCTTCGAGAACATAATATGTCTGCGAGTAAACACTTTATGGCCGTTTTCTCAACTCCTTGCATTGTGATCCGGTTTCTCTTTCTCTTTCCCCTCATTTTTATGTATTTTCTCTCTCTACAGGTGTTTTGCTTGCTTAAACCAGCGTTTACGCCAGGTTTGATTCTCTGGTGTCCTGTGGTTAGATATCTCGGGGTAACTAGTATAGAGCTGGGTCAATGAAGGACATTTCTCACGAAGCAGTACGCCGTGTGGGAAGCGTAGCTTTCAAGCAAAAAAAAAAAAAAAAAAAAAAAAAAAAAAATCCGTGGACCATATTTTATAATTTTTAGAAATCAGTAAACCTTGGAAAAAGCGGGTGTATTTAGTTGCCCATGTGGTTTTTCCTCAAGAGTTCCTTCCTGCTCGTACATAACTAGTGGTTATATGAAGGTGGATTTGCCTGTGTTCGAACACATGTTCCTATGGTGTTCAGCCAAGGCCCCCAAATAACCCATACATGTTCTGTACAGTGAGCTACCTTCTTTGATCATATAAAAGAGGTAACTTTTCTGTAATATTATGTATGATGACTGTATCAGCCCCTCTCTGAATGTGTATTTAATAATTATCACCCCACTACTGTATTCTTCTTCCTCTGCTCTTGTATTGATTTCTATTCTTAACTATTCTTATTCTTACCCATCTACTTTAAAATCCTTGCATCTCTGTATGAGTGAGAAAGACTGATAATAATCTCTGTTGCTGATACTGCTGTTGAAGCAGTTGCTGTATGAAAGCAGCTACAGTATGATTTTATTGTAGAGATAACAGCACAGAGAGAGAATACACTGAGAATCAGTAGACAAAGCAGATCAAAGAATACACAGATAGTGTATGCAGAGAAGCAGAATAAATAAGTGATAATATATAGATTTATTTTATTTCTATTTCTTCTTTATTTCTGTGTATGAAGAGAGATGGAATTTGATAGACTAATTTCTCACTGCTGCTCAATCTTCACTATCTGTATAATAGAAATAATATAATAAAAAGAAGTTTTCAGATGATCAGATTGTCTCTGAGCAGAAGATAATCTAATTCTTTAGTAAGAGAGTTTTCAATTGTTCACTCAGAGAGAGCTATCTTAAAAGAAAGTATATGAATACTAAAAGAGAAGAGATTATACAGACAATAGAAGAGAATCTAATCAAACAGTATTGAGCAGCTCTTATTGATCTGTATTATATACAGCAGAGCAGACAGAAGAACTTTCATTCTCACTCAGTTGATTAGATTTTGAATGATATATTAAAGACTCACAGATCTATAAAGTATATATAAAGATGTATAAAGTTTGTGAACAGAGGTGCAGACACTCTGATGAACAGCTATACTGAGTTGAATATAATGAACTTTATACATCAGTGCTGAGAGAGATGATAGAGAGATGAAAGATATACAGTTGAGTCTTTTCTTCATACAGCAGCTGACTTTTTTATAAGTTATTATATACTGCTGAGAGAGCAGTTCAGATGAGAGATGTAGTTGACTGATCTGTTTATAATTGAGCTGTTAAATGAGAGATTAATACTCTGCTGATCTCTTATTCAGATTATAAGTAATAGCAAAATAAATCAGAACAACAGACTTGAATATTCAACTGTTGTACAGTATAAGAATTATATTCTTT